TGGGAGTTGAAGTCCACTCTGGGGAATTCTGGGAGTTGAAGTCCACTCATCTTAAAGTGGCCAAGTTTGGACAACACTGCCTTAAAGCTATTAGAAGAACCGGCCTCAGGAGCGCCTTTAGCTAAATACTGAACAGGGCAGCATTCTCTGCCCTACGATCAAGGTTGGGAAATAGGTATTTTAACATATCACAAAACAAACATGTCCCAAAACCCCTAGTTATTTTTTTTTTCCTTCCAGCTGTTTGGAGTTTGCCCTAGAAATTCCACAAACTCGGAGAAAGAGAGAGAAACAAACCCGTCTAGCGAGTTGGTCTATTTTCACCCTTCCACAACGTTATGTCCATCAGAGGTGTTAGTTTACAGTTCCTGCCGCTGCCCACTAGCATGGGCGAGTTCATCATGGGAACTGTAGTCCGACACATTTGGAGGGCACCAGGTTCCGGAAGGCTGGTATGGGGCAGCCCTGCTCAAACCAAAGGTTCGATGAACGGGCTGACAATGCCCTCCGACAAGTACTGTTGCTGCAAACTGTGATGGCATATGAAGGTTTCCGACGAAGGAAAATGCTCCCTGCCTTTCTGCGCATTCTTCCCCTCCTTGCTAACACGGAAGCAGAATCCGCGCCATTTCAGCCCACCCTAAAACCGCGCCAGCCTTATCTTCCCTTCCAGGACTACCTCGGATTCCAACCAGTGTGCTGACGGATGCTGGGAACTGTAGTCAACGCTGGACTACACGGCTGGAGGCTGTTAGATTGGGGAGGCTACTCTAACCTTTTTGTCTCTATGGGTAAGCGGCCCGCCAACACTCGGCACAGTGCGGAAGTGCCAGGAGGGCGGCGACGTACAGTACGCGGAAGGAGGTCACAGCAGAGAGGCTGGCGGAGTGGACGGTCCGCGCTGCAGACCGAGGAGGTAGGTGTGCAGGGCTCCACCCCCAGCTCGGGCATAAGCCCCGCCCACACGGCCCTCGCCCCTCCCCTTTGTTCCCAAAGCCCCATGCCGGTTCCGTTCCCAGGTACTGAGGGATCGGGAGCCCGGGCGGTTGGTTTGCCTTGGCGTAGGCGCGGTAGGGCTGCAGAGCGCCGCCGAGTGTTGTGGTTGGAGCCCCGGGGTGGACGTGGCGGCAGGGCGCAGCCCCGGAACTCGTGCAGTCATGAGAAGGAAGCACATAGCTCCGAGCCTACGTAGAGTGTATTTCACTAACCGAACTTGAAATCCAGTCCTTCCTCCCGTTATCGTGAAATACTCGCTAAGGAGCTGCTCCGAGATTCCGTACCATTTTGCGGCAGTGAGAATGATTCTTTGCTAGAGCAGGGTGGCAGGGCCCGAATGCAGCTTCCAGAAACTTTCTGGGCGTAAAAAAGGAAGTCAGGACTTTCGAATTAGACCCAGCATTTCGCATGCATTCCCTGCTGGCCTTCCTTTAATCCCTAGTTCTGTCACGGTCGAGTGGCAGCCCACGCGTAGAGCCTGGTTGGGTGTCTCTTCTCTTCTGCAGACAAGATTAGGTAGAGTATCAATTTCTTTTTGAATAGGGAGCGAAGTATTCCTCATTTTGCTGCAGTTGCCAACACAAGATTTTCTGCATTTTACACTAAGACTGCTCCGCTCTTTTCAGGGCTTGAAATCGCCTCATAATATCCTCTCTAATTAGCTTAATGGTTTTGCCTCTTGGTAAGATGTCAGTTAACTCTGGCACATTTAATTTGGTGAAAGAATTCTATCTGTAATTGTCCTGTTGCTTGCATTTTTAAACAAACAGTGATTGTATACTTGCAGTTTTGCCTGGGTGCCCTCCATATGCATTGGGAATACAATACCTAGACTTTCTTATAGTTGCATTGCCTTAACACAGCTAGGGATAGCAAGCTGGAGAAGGCAGGTTTGTATTCTTTATTTACTACAACTATTTTGCAATGTTTGCCCCACTTTTCATCCATATTTATATGAATGTTTGTTGATTTCTTAGATTTTTATTGCTACGTGGCTTTTGGGTGGGGTAAGGATTGTACAATACTTATGACTTTTACATATGCTAATGTGTTTATTAGACTTGCACCCTCAAAGGAGCAGCATGTCTTCAAAAAGAAAACTTATACAATATTTTAATATTCCAGGTTATGGCAAGATCTGATGTCTTTCTTTCCTCTCTGCAAAGCCTCATTAGTGAGAGGGCAGCCTGGCAAATCCCCATCAAAGCGAAACTAGAATTGGAATAAAGGAAATTGCCATAAGACAGATTGGAATTTTTGTTCATGACTGGCAGGACAACTTTCCCATTATCTCCTACCTGGTCTCTTTTATTTGGAGATGCTGAAGTTGGAAGTGGGACTTTCTCCATGCATTGCAAAGCATGTGCTCATGCACTGAGTCATGGATCCCCCCCAAATGAAAATGTAGGGGTTACTCCAGCAGAATCTCAGTGAGGGGGATGCGTGACCAAACTAGCCACTGAGGTATTTCTCTCTGTTAATATTAATAAAGTCTCCTTCAAGTCAAATAACTACTGATGGCTTCATGCACATGTTGATGTAGTTGCCTTAGCAGGAGTACAGAAATGGCTTGCTATTGCCTTTTTCTGGAATGTTATTTTGACTTCTCCATCCAGTCTCTGGTCCTGGGATTCTCTGCTATCCAAGTACTAATCAGATCCACCCTTGCTGAGCTTTTCCAAATTACACAAGGCCAGTCAGGCATTAAGTTACTATTGAACTGTGCCCAGTGTTACACAACATGATCCTGCTGCACTGGCAGTAACTGGTCTTTAAGGCCTGCGTGTAAAACTGTATTGTACCAAGAAATTATATCAGAGATGGAAAATCCATGACCCTTGGATGTTGCTGAAATAAAGCTTTCAGCTGTCCTTTCCACTGGCCATGCTGGCTGAGGCTGCTGGAAGCTATTGTTCAATTATATCCGAAGCACTACCAGTTTCCTACCCTTGATTTATGCTCAACAATCTAATGTTCGCTTCTGAGGCATCTTTGCTCATTTCTTTCCCTCCGATGTTGTGTTGCAGGATTTCTACTAGAGCTTCTCTTGCCTGATATCCTTATTTGTGATGCAGACTATATTTTGAAGGCTCTAGGACCGTAAAGGTCCCAGCGTGGGACACAAGACAGGATGGCCGAAGCTGTCCATTATATCCATTTGCAGAACTTCAGCAAATCCCTTCTGGAGACGTTGAACGGGCAACGCCTAGGTGGACATTTCTGTGATGTGACGGTGCACATCCAGGAGGCCACCCTGCGGGCTCATCGGTGTGTGCTGGCTGCTGGCAGCCCCTTTTTCCACGATAAGCTGCTGTTGGGCTACTCGGAGATTGAGGTGCCCCCTGTGGTCCCCAGCCAGGTGGTGCGCCAGCTGGTGGAGTTTATGTATAGTGGATCTCTGGTCGTAGCCCAGTCTGAAGCTCTGCAGATCCTCACCGCTGCCTCCATCTTGCAAATCAAGACTGTCATTGACGAATGCACCCAGATCATCTCTCAGAGTCGCAGCCCCAAACCCCCCACTGCCCCTCCAGCAGTACCCCTCTCCCTTCCCAGAGTTCTGCCCACCAAGCCCCAAGAGCAACAATCCAAAGAGGTCATTGGTAGCCTTTCACGGCCAGGCGACCTCGAGGCTGCCCACCTTGAACCTCCAAAGCTGCTCTGCCCCTCGGAGGTGCGTTATAAGCTGCGAGACCTGCTGTCCTCCCAGCACAGAGAAGCTCGGACAGCTACCTGCGAGGAGACCATAAGTGATGGAGACACAGGAGGGTCCTACCTGCACTCTACTGAGTCCACCCCCAGCTGCCACAGCCGCAAGCAGCGCCAGCCAGTTAGGCTTCAGTTGTCTGAGACGATGCCAGTCATCATCAAAGATGAAGAGGAGGGCAGTGGAGAAGGCCCAGAGGGGTCAGAGGCAGAAAGAGAGGCCAAACTGGGCTGCTTTGCTGAGTGCAGTGGGAGTGGCCCCTTTGCCTCTGGCTTCAGTGACCAGGCAAAGGATTCTGGGGGTAGCAATGGGGCTGACAGAAAGGAGGGCCTCCACTTGGATTATGTCACCGCAGAAGGTCAGGATTTCTTTGGAAACCAGGATGTCTTTTCAGAGTCCTTCATCCCATCCTGGCAGGGAGAAGAAAGTGGAGAAGAGGCTACGGTTTCCACCTCGCGAGACAGAGAGAAATTCCATCCTGATTGCAACGTGGAGGCTTCCAATCTGAGGAGCTTAACAGGAGAATTCAAGCAAGACTTAAGTGGCGGCTCTTCTGGGTTCCCGCCCCGGAGCAGCAGTGGTGGGGCTGAGGGCTTAACCTTTGTCTCCTCACTAGGCATCCAGCGGGAGCTCAAGGCAGAAGTCAGCAATACCAGCACGGTCACCAGCAACACCAGCATCTTCCAGTTCCATCTGCCCCAGCCTGGTGGCGTAGCCCAGACCTTCTACAGCATTCAGCAGCAGCAGCAGCAGCAGCAGGACACAGGTGCCAGCAACATGGTGCAGCTCAGCCCCAGCACAATGGTCACTGGTACCCTTCATGGTGGGGAACAGCAGAACCAACAACCTGGAACCTCCCGCTGCTTGGAGCCTTCCTATCAATGCAGCCACTGCCAGAAAACTTTCAGCTCTCGGAAGAACTACACCAAGCATATGTTCATCCATTCAGGTAATGGGGCTGTTGAGGCTAATAGTCCTGGGAAGTGGGTTGTCAGTGCTGGGGAAGAGTAAGGCTAGGCCTCCAAATATGTCACTGTTAACAGTTGAACAACATCACTTTTTCCCACTGTTTTGAGAGATTGATAAATGAAGGCAGGCCCAAGGGAGCTGACACTAGAGAGTAGCTGCAAAGAAATTTCAATTTTAGTTAAATGTAGTTATTCGGTTTAATTTTAAACTAAGCAAACTTTTGGGGACTGCTGTTGATGGGGTGTGTTTGGTTTTAGGATAAGCCACTATGACTAGTTCAAACAATCATGGTTACAACAAGCCATGCAAATGAACCTAGCCACAGGGTGCTGCAAATATACCATTACAGTCATTAGGACGTAGCTGCTTTGAGTTGCAGACAGGTCACACCTCCATATTCTCTGAAGAATCTTTTTGCCTTTAATCCAGATAATTATATAGTCCTAATAATTAGAGTGCCCATTTGGTCTAATGGTTAAGGCACTGAGTTAGGAGCGAGGAAACCTGCCTTAGGCATGAAGCCAGCTGGATGATTTTGGATAGTCAGTCTCTCCCAGCCTTTGGAAGGAGGCAAGGGCAAACCACTTCTGAAATCTTGCCAAGAAAACTGCAGGGGGTAGTCCAGGTAATAGCCAAGTGTCAAGAGCAGTGTTTCTCAACCTTGGAAACTTTAAGATGTGTGGACTTCAACTCCCAGAATTCCCTGCCAGCAACGCTGCCCGGGTAGTTCGGGAATTTGAGTCCCCAACATTTTAA